CACCCTCTTCCTATCCTCTCTCGCCAAGAGAATTTGATGTTACCCCTGCGAGGCATCCATTAGGCTCAATAACTCACACCCGACAGTTGAATCGACCAACTGGTCGATCCTAGGCAGCGGGTACAAATTCTTCGGGCATGTTTTGTTCAGATCACAGAAATCTATGCACATTCTCTACTTCCCTTCTGCATTGGACACCATTATTGTATTTGATAGCCATTCCGGGAACTGAGCCTTAATGTGTCTAGCTCCCAACAGCTTCTCAACCTCCTGCTCGATAATTTTATCCATTTCCGCCCCATGGTGCCTTCTCTTCTGCTTTACCGGCCTCACACTGAGGTCGATTTTTGAGCGATGCTCGATCACATCTGCACTTATCCCCGTCAGTTCCTCCGTCGTGTAAGCAAAAACATCAACAAACTCTCTAACCAAACTAATCAGCTTCGACCTGACTGGCTCCTCTAGCTCTTTCCCGATTCTAAACTTCTTCTCCTCGTAACCTTTTATCATTTGGATTTCTTCACCTCCCCTTCAGGCTAGATATCCACCTTCTCCTTACCCTTCTCCACTCTCTGTTTATCTTCCTTCGACCTCGACCCACCTGGTCGAGTAACCTCTTCTTCTTTTGACTGTGCCTGCTTTTTCGCCAACTGACTGTTGTTACTCACCGTCGTCTGGTAACAACTCCTCGAGGTAAGTTGATCCCCTGCGCTCTCGCCAATGTTTTCACCCACTGGATATTTGATCGTCATATGGTACGTCAACACGATCGCCTGGAATGCGTTCAAGCTCGTCCTCCCCATAATAATGTTATAAGATGATTCAGCCCCCACGACCACAAATCTCACCATCCGCACTTTCCTCGTCATCCCTGATCCCAACGCAACCGACAAACTAATCTCGCCCATCGGCATTACTTCGCCTCCATTGAAACCGTAAAGAGCCGTGGCCACTGGCTTCAACTCCATATTTAGCTCCTTGTTAATCTGCACAAAACAGTCAGAAAACATTACGTCTACCGAACTCCCGGTATCAATAAACACTCTCTTCACATCGAATCCCGCCACCTCCGCGGTAATCACTAAAGCATCATTATGCGGCACCACAACTCCCTCGGCATCCTCCGCCTTAAAACTTATCTCCGGCATGCGAGCAGTAATTTTTACCTCCTCTCTTTACCTCTTCATCGTTCGAGCATGCACTTTCCTGGCATTATTTGAGTCGCCATCTGTTGGTCCTCCCGAAATCATATAGATCGTTCCCCTCTTCAGTGGTGCCTCACCTCCTTGTCCTCCTCTATCTCCATCTTCCCTCCTCGGCTTCTTCCGTCGACCATCTCTCCCTCCTCTCGACTCATCATCGCCTTCCTCATCTCGATCACTCCTCTCCTCTGAATCCTCCCGACACCTCCTCCTTCCTTTTCCCTTCGCCCTATCATGATAAACAAACTCTTTCAAGTGTCCTGCCCGAATCATTCGCTCGATCTCATCCTTCAAATGCCTACAGTTCTCCATAGTGTGGCCATAATCCCTATCAAACCGACAATAAGTATCCGACCTAGGTCGAGTTGGGCCTGTAAACCTCGTCTTCGGCCAGGTTACATCTTCACTCGCCATCTTTTGCTCCATCGTTTCTAGCACCTCCCCCATATCTTTCCTTAAGGGTGTGAAATTATGGTACCTATGCCTCTCAAACAACAGTGACCTCCCCTGCATCGATCGTCCCGCTTTGCCTGCTTCGAATCTCGCCCATCTCTCCTGGGCGATCCCCCTTTTGGTCCACCTGGCTTGGGAGATCTCCTCCTGCTTGACCTCCCTCGTGGTGGGCTCTTCTCCTTTTTTGGCTCTGGTCGAGCACCTCCCTCCAACTTGGCAAACTCCACCTCCATCTCCTCCAGATTGATATACTTTCTACACCTCTTCAACACATCCTCATATGATCGAGCAGGGGTTTTTGCCGACGAAGTTCGGCAAGGCCCCGCTCGAAGACTCCATATCAATCCCCCTGCATTCACTTCATCGTACTGAATGCACCTCCAAGCACGTTTGATTGTATCGGGCAACATACTTCCTCAGCGACTCTTTCTCTCCCTGTTTCATCGCCATCAGGGTCAAATACGTTTTCTCTTGAGCCACTGAGCTCGAGTACTGATTGGTGAGTTTGCTAGCGAAATCCTCAAAATCGGCGATCGACCCCGGGGACAGCTGATGGAACCAATCGAGCGCCCTCCCCGCAAGGACGATAAGAAGGCCCTACAACACACACAGTAAGAATATCCATGTAACACAACCATATTTTCAAAAGTCCTCACATGCCTCGACGGATCAGATGACCCGTCAAACACCAAGTTGGTCTCATGAAAATTGTTCGGCAAAGGTGCCGTAATAATCGCCCTCGAGAAGGGATATCCTCGAGCTCTCCTTTTCGGCCTCCCTTCAACCTTGTCCAGCAACTGGCGCAACTGCTCCACCATCCTCTCCATCGCACGATCCCTCACATCTCCTCCACCTCTATAACTGGACACATCCTCATCCTGGCCTCCTACCACCGTGGTCGGCGCAATTGTAGCATGAGATGTATGATTTGTGGCTTGCTGGACCGCCTGCACCGCCGCGGCTGCTACCATCCTCTGCATCTCTTCCCTGGTCATCGCCACCATCTGCTGTCCAGGGACTTGTGCATCTGCCAGCGGTAGTGCTCCTCCTTGAGCCGCCGGTCCTCCTGATTGTACACCTACTGGGTTTGGCAGCGGCGGCGGCGACATTGCCACCGCGGCTGCTGCACGAGCCTCTTGGGCACGACTGGAGCTCGCGTTTCCTCTAGGAACCGCCGTCGATGCTCCCACACCTTGAAGGACAGGTGTAGGAGTAACCGGCGTCTGTGAAGGCCCAGAAAAACTGGAAGAGGGCCCTGCACCAACAGCCTGTTCGTCGTCCAAACATCATCGAACGTCGACTGCAAATTGGTTCTGGGAATTTTGTCCGCCATAACTGAGCTTCAAACACAACTTTTCGAACAAAGTCCCCACAGACGGCGCCAATAATGCAAGTGTGAGTGTTGTAGCCCGGTTTGGAATAGATCGCCTTCGTCCTCGCCGGTAGAACGTCGGGAACCTGCAAACAAGTCTTACACTAGGTAGATTTTGAAACGAATATAATGTAATTTATCATTAGGTATGTGCACCGCACGGGTTGTGCAAATTTTAAAAGCCATTTTAATGTAATTTTACACAATTTGAAATTTTATATAACATTTTCAATAAAATTAATATAGGTAAATAGTATTACATATTGATACATATTCTTAATTTATAAATATGATTTAATGAAGATTAATTGATAAATATTAATGAATATCTCTTATCCGTGCATCGCACGGGATTCGTACTAGTTATGTTTCAACTTGAACACATTTATTACAATGAATTTTTTATTAATTAAAAACAGTAATAAAAAGATGAATAAAGTATATAAATATAAAAAATCAGAATTTAAAAGCAATGAAAAATTACAAACCATGCATCACGCGCATCGCACGTGTACTTTACTACTGTGTATATATATGTATAGTCAATAATTGGATAACTTAGACATGATATATGGATATCAATCAAAAACAATATTTTTATGATATTTCATAAACGTTGAAGTTAGAAGTACTATTAGTTCAAACATATTAAGTAACCTAAACGGGATGGTATCAAGCAGTTTGATTAGTCGTAACACAATAAAAGTAAATTGTTATTGTTACATCAACAGTAATTCACTCAAGCCCGTCATACCAAAGCTTAGATTGATGTTGATCTTTGTTACATTTCTTTGCACACGAATAATGGATCCAGAAATCACAGTTGAAACAATAAAAGTTCATCTCATCGACAAAGCCGTCGACTGTTGTGTTGCAGTAACCACACCTCTGATTCCCGACCATGAGCATCCGAGTTAAAGCCACCGGGTGGTCTGGGTGGCAAGAAACATCAAGTGTCGTTCCAAACTTGACTTTGGACAAAAGCCCGACCGACGGTATGCATTTAATGTGGAAGGACTGCACACACTCGGTACAGTGATAGAACCAATATTGTTGGTCGATGTCTTGTTCGCAGACCTCACAAATGCACGTATCTCTTTTGGACCACATGTTGTCTGGAAATATTAATTCTAGCGGATGCTTATCGAATTTACTATGGCTTACCATTTTAGGTAGAAATGCACACGTAGTATGTATTTTGAAGGAGCAACTGATGCATGCATATGCCCAAGAAAAAATGCGGACGGAAGACCAAAGTTCACGACAACAATTGAAATTTGTAGGCTCCAAAACTCCTAAGTCTCGGAAAAGAAAATGATTATGTTTGTCGTGTGATGCATGTGTTATGGTAAGTGGAGCGGAAGCACATTCTAAATCGACTATTGAGATGTCGTTGCTAGATCCAAATCCATTGCAAGGGCGGAAACACATACCGCATGGGAATGTGGAATGAAAGAATTCATTTACTATAGGGTAAAGTGATAGATTGAATGCGAAAAACCAGGTCTGCTTGGAAGGAATATTCACACAAAAATCATGGAGAAGAAAATGACAGTCGGGTCGAATGCATTCCCAAAAGGGAGGTGAAATAATGGGTTGTATGCACGCGTCACACACCGTGCCTTGGTCTAAACAACATGAATATGATCTTAATCCTAACGCTTCTATACTACTATTACAACTACTACAACTGGCATGTTCATGGTCATTATTAATGATGTCACGAAAGGTCAAAGGATGGTTGTGATACTTCTCTATTGGCCACATTTCGTTTCCACCATCGACTATTTTTAGAGATTGTTTATTGGCGGCCAGATTACGAAAGGTCAAACTTGAATACATATACCCTCCTTCTTGGTGCGGCAAGTGGATTACTAGCCCGGTTTCTGCATTGATAAAAATTGTATTCACAAAGTATATAATGACTTGATAAGAGAAACAAGTTTTATTTATTTAATTAATCAATCAATCAATTAATTACCTTTGGGAGTAAAATCTCCCATGTTGGCTGCTACACACCGCAAATGAGCATAGTAATCATATTTCTCGGCACACAGATACATCCCCTTGCCGTGGAAACCTTTTAAGCACAAATGACACACTGTAGTGTTTAGAGACATGCAAGCATACGTGAGTATTAAATAGTGATCATGGGAAGGTATGTTGACAATGCTTGGCAACAACGCGCAGTCTACATGTATCCAGAAGTTGCATTCTCTGCACGCGAAGAAAAACCCTTCGTGTTTCTCACCGCACGCATCACACAAGGACATAGTCTCCCTACTCAAAGCCACCAATGGATGGTCGTTGTGGCTGTAGTGCTCGATTTTGATCTCCACTTGCGCAGCACATAGAGGATGGAGTATGTTCCAAAAGTCATGAGTGTAGATGATATTTGCGCATAACTTGCCACACCTTTTGCATGTGTTATTGAGATATGGATTGATATTGAGGGTAAGACGTTCAGAACTGTAGGGGTAGTTCACATGCTCGGGCAGCTGTGCACACGACTTGTGCATGAAGAAATCGCAACCGTTGATGCAAGTGTATGCAGGGCTTGATAGAATTGGTAACTCACACACACTGCACAACTCAGGCTTATTACTATGATATCTATCTCTTATTTGTTTTTTTCCTTGGCCTCTCAAAATCAATTTGTGCTGCTCATGACCAAAGTGCTCAATGATCTCCATTAATATATAGTTGGATATATAACAATATATTGTTTGAAGAATAATATGTTGTGTATGAGTAATGGGAAAATTATATCAGACTTTGACTAATTGTGATATCAGTGTATATAAATAAGGGTATACAAATATACTTAACTTACTATATTTGCAAGGAATTACATCACGCTTTGACTAAGGAATATTAAAAGAGTTAAGAGAGGCTTCCTTGTTAAGCAACATAAATCTTATGTTAGCACTTGTATCTTAATCTGTTCTTAAAATAGCCTTTTTAATTTAATACTAGTACAACACAAGAAATAGCTTTTTTAATTTAATACTAATACAACACAGAAAAAAAAAAAAAAATATACATGTCTTAAAAAAATTTAAAAATTAAATATATAAATATTTAATTCAAGTTTTCAAATATTTTTTATCGGAAATTGCCTCGTTAGTTTTATTAAAATGACACACCAACACATTCGTTTACTACATGAGCTTTATCAGCAGTAATAATTTATATATACTACTGTATATGTATGTAAGTATATACTTGACCTACTATGCCAAGAAAGAAGATAATAAAACTTTTGCAATGGAATATATGAATACAAATAAATATATTCTAGTCTCTCTTTTTAGTTGCATTATAACGTACATTTCATGATTGCAATATTTGTATATGTATGCAAGTATATACTTAACCTACTATGCCAAGAAGGAATTCCAACATACTTTGGTAATGGAATATGGGAGAAAAATTAAATATATTCCACACTCTCTTTTTAGTTGCATTATAACTTACATTATATTAATTGCAATATTTGTTTATGTATGCAAGTATATACTTAACCTACTATGCCAAGATTGAATTAAATCAAACTTTGGCAATGGAAGATGAGGATTTTCCCTTATGTATGCATTGGTTTTAAACTCAGCCCAGGAATAGACCAGGGCAAGCCTCTAGGCCACGAGGTCACTAGCTAGTGAACAGAATAATTAATTTAAAATTTCATAATTGTATATATATTATTTTCTATTGTTCTATCTAAACAATTATGTAGGAAAACCAAGATGAATTCTTAACGCAATTTTTAATAGTATATTCAAGGGCGGAGCCACCCAAAGACTGGGGTGGGCTCTTGCCCTGTCTTAATTTTCTGGAAAGTCTAAATATATACTAGTAAAAAATATTTTAGGCCATGTTATGTTAGACTAGCCACAGATTAATCTCTGAGCAAGGAAGAGCCTTTCCAAGGGTAGTTGTCAAGGCTATCTTGTGAGTATGGTATCCGAGGATGTTTCTGAGAGGTCCCCAGAGAGAGTCTCTATCGTTTGCGAGTATCTTGATGTTTTTCCCAATGAATTGCCCGGAGGACTGCCCGACTGCCAAGTCGAATTCACAATTGATTTGGTACCAGGAGCTGGTCCCGTTTCAAAGGCCCCCTACCATATGGCGTCAAAGGAGCTTCAAGAGCTCAAGGCCCAGATCCAAGAGTTGCTTAAGCTCGGTTTTATTCGGCCGAGTGTTTCTCCGTGAGGAGCGCCCGTTCTATTCGTGAAGAAGAAGGACGGATCAATGCGCATGTGCATCGACTACCGAGAGCTTAATCACCTTACAGTTAACAACAAGTACTCCTTTCCCCATATTGAGGATCTCTTCGACCAGCTGAGGGGAGCCAGCGTCTTCTCGAAGATCAATTTGAGGTCAGGTTAACATCAGTTGAAGATCCGAGAGTTGGATATCTCTAAGACCGCATTTCGTACCAGATATGGCCACTATGAGTTTGTGGTGATGCCGTTCGGACTCAACAATGCATTGGCAGTGTTTATAGACCTTATGAATAGGGTCTTTCATCCTTATCTGGACCATTTGTTATTGTGTTTATCGACGACATCCTAGTGTACTCTCGGGACATCGACCAACACAAGGAGCATCTGAGGATTGTGCTGGAGGCTCTTCGCCGTGAGAAGCTGTATGCTAAGTTCTTGAAGTGCGAGTTCTGGCTAAACCGAGTGGCATTCCTCGGTCACATCGTGACGGGCAGAGGCATTGAGGTTGATCCCGACAAGATTGAAGCTGTGAGTAGATGTGAGACACCGAGGAACACCAGCGACATCCGTAGTTTCCTCAGATTGGCAGAGTATTACCGGAGATTCATCGAGGGATTTTCAAAGATATCCCAGCCGATGACCCAGCTGACGAAGATGTCGGCAAGATTTGTGTAGAGTCCTGAGTGCGAGACCAGTTTCCAGGAGTTGAAGAGGAGATTGACCACCGCCCCAGTGTTAGCTATTCCCTTTGGACTTCACTATTTACAGTGATGCTTTGAAGATGGGCTTAGGCTGTGTGTTGATGCAGCACGGGAAGGTGGTAGCTTATGGTAGCTGAAGCCTCACGAGCAGAACTATCCCACACATGACTTGGAGCTAGCTGCAGTGGTCCACGCACTGAATATCTGGAGGCATTACCTTTACGGAGGGAAGTGCGAGATATTCACGGTCCATAAGAGCCTGAAGTACATTTTCACTCAGAATGAGCTGAATATGCAGCAGCGCAGATGGTTGGAGTTGGTCAAGGATTACGACTGCACTATTAGCTACCATCCCGAGAAAGCTAATGTGGTAGCCGATGCCCTTAGTCGGAGGAGTTATGGCCAGCTTTCTTGCCTATTCACCGGGCAAGACGTCTTAGTTCGAGAGTTCGAGCGGCTACAGCTAGAGGCAGAGGAGTCGACTTCGACGACCGGTGGTATGTTGACCACCTTGGTCGTGGGACTGACTCTTCATGAGAGGATAGTCGCCGAGCAACCGAATGATCATTTCATGTGCCGAATGAAGGATTTGGCGTCTAGTGGTCAAATTGGTGGATTTGCAGTGCATCTGATAGAGCATTGATCTTCGAGGGAAAGCTATATGTTCCGAAGGTGTGGGATATGCGAAAGGAGATTCTGAGAGATGCCCATAGTGCCCTGTATGTACTAGGATCTCAGGAAGTCTTTCTGGTGGCGAGGCATGAAGAGGCAAGTAGAGAGGTTCATGGATGGATGCCTGGTGTGTCAGCAAGTGAAGGCTGAGCATCAGAAATCGAGAGGGTTGTTGAAGCCCCTTGAGGCTCCTATGTGGAAGTGGGAGTGCATCACCATGGACTACTTGGTGGGATTTCGTAGATAGAGGTCCGAGCATGATTCAATTTGGATGATTGTGGATCGACTCACGAAATCTCCCCACTTTTTGCCCGTGCAGACGACTATGAAGGCTAGTGATTATGTAGAGTTGTTCGTGTATAAGATTATTCGACTTCACGGGGTGCCCGTGGAGATTGTGTCTGATCGAGACTCGAAGTTTACGGGTCAGTTCTAGAGAACTTTGCACTGAGCCATGGGGACTAGGTTGGAGTTCAACACCTCCTTTCACCCCGAGACAGATGGTCAGTTGGAGCGGACAATCCAGTACTTGGAGGATATTTTGAGGGTTGTGGTCTTGGACCGTAGCCTAACTTGGGAGAATGCCCTGCCTTTGGCCGAGCTGACTTACAACAATAGCTATCACGCCTCGATCAAGATGGCCCCGTACGAGGCTTTGTACGTACGGAGGGTCCGAACACCCTTGTATTGGGATGAGATCGGAGAGAGGAAGATTATGGGTCTGAAGTTCATTCATCGGACTTCGGAGCAGGTTGATGCAATCCGGAGAAGTATCCAGTCCGCCCAAGAGAGGCAGAAAGTCTATGTCGATCGAAAGAGGCAGGAGCACAAGTATGTCGTTGGGGATCATGTCTTTCTAAAGGTCTTGCCCATGAACGGTGTGATTCATTTCGGAAAGAATGGGAAGCTTCGGCCTCTATATATCGGGCCATTTGAGATCCTTGCCCGAGTCGAAGACTTAGCTTATCGGCTGGCTTTACCACTGGATTTTTCAGGTGAGCATGATGTATTTCATGTCTCGATGTTACGTAGATATGTGCATGACTCGGACCACGTGGTGGACTTGGACGAGCTGCAGGTCGAGTAAGACCTTACCTATGAGGAGGTACCGGTGGCCATTTTGGACCACAAGGTCCATCAGCTGAGGAACCGGGCAGTGAGTCTGGTGAAGGTGCTGTGGAGCCGACATGACGAGTCTGAGACGACTTGGGAGAAGGAGGCCGAGATTAGGAGGAGATACCCGACTTTCTCATTTTTAGTCTCTTATATTCTTTTGTATTCTAGTTGCTTTTATTTTCGAATTCTGAGGACGAAATTCTTTGTAAGGTCAGTAGACTGTAATGCCCCGTTTATTTATAAATATTATTGGGTTTATTTATAAAATTGTTATTATGTGTTTAAATGCTTATTATTATTATAAAATGATATTGTGTGTATTATACATATTATTCAGTATAATTTATCGTCGGGATCGTATCCGAGCTATTTTTTCGAGTGAGTCTTAAGTTTAATAATCGGCCCAATTTATCGAAAGAATTTTTTAGCCCAAAGGATTTATTTCCTAGCCATAATGATTTAAATTGTGATGGCCCAATGTAATGTACATATTTTAGCCCAATGATTAATTAATCTCTTGGCCCATCTCCTTTATTATTATCTTGGCCCAACAAGAAGTGAATGAAGCAGATATTTTTCCTTTCTCACAGCGACCACGTCTTCCCCCTGACTCATTCTTCTCGCTTAAATCCCGTTGCGATTCTCTTGGGTGAAACCACAGCATGGTAGAAGCTATTACTTAAGAATAGGACGTGAGAATCCTCTTCTCCTCATCAGAGATTTCATCTCTCTCTCTCGCATAGCAGCCGGCGTTTAAAAAAAAAAAATCATTACTTTGCCTGTACCTTTCCCGTCGCCATTGTT